ATTAGGGCTTCTTTCAAGCCCTAAATGCTTACTCGTTTAGGAAAGTTAATTTACTAACTTACCTTTCACCTACTTTTCTCTTTAGCTTTACATAGCGACATAGAGCTCTCCTTTTGAAGCAGTGGGGGGGCTCTGAAAAGAGCCTTTGGGTTTTAAAGCACTTCGGGAGATTCAGGTCCCTGTCAAATCACTTGCCCTTGGCCTTGTGGTGGCTCTCTGTCTTCTTGGGCAGCAGCACGGCCTGGATGTTGGGCAGGACGCCGCCCTGAGCGATGGTCACGCGGCCCAGTAGCTTGTTGAGCTCCTCGTCGTTGCGGATGGCCAACTGCAGGTGGCGCGGGATGATACGCGTCTTCTTGTTGTCGCGGGCCGCGTTGCCCGCCAGCTCCAGGATCTCAGCCGTCAGGTACTCCAGCACCGCCGCCAGGTACACCGGCGCGCCAGCCCCGACCCGCTCGGCGTAGTTGCCCTTGCGGAGCAGGCGGTGCACTCGGCCCACAGGAAACTGAAGACCCGCACGCGAGGAGCGAGACTTTGCCTTAGCCCGAGCTTTCCCTCCTTGTTTACCACGTCCAGACATTGCAAATCTGGAAAAACGAAACAAAACGAAACGAGACTTCTTGTCAAAACAGACCCACTGTAGAAATAGGTAAAGCATGGCCGCTTTTATAGGCAGTTCCTGGGGAGTAAACCTGGTTGTCTGATTGGTTAGTACCAAGACTCAGCCAAGTAGCCAATAAAAAAGCTTTATTTCCATACCTTATTTGCATAGTCCTGCCCATAGATGACGGCCTTGCTATTTATCTTCCAATTAACTAAGACGCGCTCTGGACGCCTCATTAGCATAAAGGCCCTATAAGTAGGAGAAATCTGCTTCGTATTTTCATTTTATCTTTGCTGTTTCAAGGTTTTAAAATGCCTGAGCCAGCCAAGTCCGCTCCTGCCCCGAAAAAGGGCTCCAAGAAGGCGGTGACCAAGGCGCAGAAGAAGGATGGCAAGAAGCGCAAGCGGAGCCGCAAGGAGAGCTACTCGGTGTACGTGTATAAGGTGCTGAAGCAGGTCCACCCGGACACCGGCATCTCGTCCAAGGCCATGGGCATCATGAACTCGTTTGTCAACGACATCTTCGAGCGCATCGCGGGCGAGGCATCGCGCTTGGCGCATTACAACAAGCGCTCAACCATCACGTCCCGGGAGATCCAGACGGCCGTGCGCCTGCTGCTGCCCGGGGAGCTGGCCAAGCACGCCGTGTCCGAGGGCACCAAGGCCGTCACCAAGTACACCAGCTCCAAGTAAACTTGTCAAGTAAGCGTCTACACCTAACCCCAAAGGCTCTTTTAAGAGCCACCCACGTATACACAAAAAGAGCTGCAATCTGCCACCTAATTTCGTACAGTGGAGTTGGGGCAAAAACTGCTTTTCCATAATTAAATAAAAGCACTGCCCGTTTGTCGCTCCTGACATTATTACCCCACGTTATCCATTTGCCGTTGCAATTAGTGGCTCACCCCAATTACATAAAAACTGTTAAGACTCTCAGTGATCAGTGTGGTGTAATTGATACGGAGTGATCCTAACATGAAAATTTTAAAACGGTTAGGTGGCTGGGGACTTTTAATAGGCAGTTGGGGTTGACGAACTACTTTAGGAAACGCAATTTGTTAAAAGTCTCCATGGGAGGCTAAACTGAAGGCTGGGAAACAGCGGGAAAAGGAAGGGACGCCATTGAACTTGGCATACTCAGTCTCCACTAGAGAACCTTCCTTTTACTTGGCACCCGCGGGGAGGGTGTGGGC